TAGATAGAGTTGCTATTAATGCAGATCAAAATGCAGTGCTATCGTCCTCGAAGTGTGATTGTCATCATGTGCCTTATGTGAGTGATGGTACTTAGGACGTCGACAGTGGACGGGGCCGACCGAAACACATACTGCTCATCTCTGAATAGTTTGTTCTTTTCTAGCTTTTACCAGCGTCTTCGAGTAGTTCTGACGCAGATCGGGCCAAAATACTTTGCTCTTTGCAATAGATATTGAAGTAGTGGTATTTCTTTTGCGGTTCGGGTCCCTGACTGTAAGGTGGATGAAGCCAAAACCGAGAAAACGTCTACCTCCAGTACCCTTAATGAAGAGAGGATCAAACCAGGAAAGAAAATAGATGTGTGATGCTCCGATTTTACATGTCGCTTCTGTCAAGGCAACTTGAGTCAGAAACATCGTAGCGACCAGAGACCTAAAGACACCTAGACAAGCTCGCTTATGTACTTGAGGACAAAGTGACCGACTGAGAGAAGAGGAAAACAAGAGTTCCCCTACCCCCATTTTAATTAGTATAGAGGATGGAATTAGAGGTGGAATATTTATATGGGCGTCTGCAAAGGAGATGTTAATCTATTTAAGAGAAAGAGGAGAAACTGATTAGCAGAAACTGTTAGCAGAAGGATTATGGATTGAATGGAGGGATTATGGAAAGAATTATGGATCGGAGGGAGCGATTATGAAAAGGATTATGGACTGGATGGAGGGATTATGGACAGGATTATGGATCGGAATGAGGAATTGTGGACAGGATTATGGATCGGAAGGTTTTATGGATCAGATTGAGGGATTGTGGACAGGATTATGGATCGGAGGGAGGGATTATGGATCGGGTGGAGGGAGTATGGAAAGGATTATGGATCGGAGGGAGGGATTATGAACATGATTGTGGATTGTATGGAGGGATTAGGGACAGCATTATGGATTGGAGGGGGGATTATGGAAAGGATTATAGATTGGATGGATGGATTATGGACAGGACTATGGATCGAAGGGAGAGATTATGGATCGGGTGGAGGGAGTATGGAAAGGATTATGGATCGGAGGGATTATGGACAGGATTATGGATTGGATGGAGGGATTAGGGACATAATTATGGATTGGAGGGAGGGATTATGGAAAGGATTATGGATTGAATGGAGGGATTATAGACAGGATTATGGATCGAAGGGAGGGATTATGGAAAGTATTATGGATCGGTGGGAGCGATTATGGACAGGAGTATGGATTGGAGGGGGATTATGGACAGGATTATGGATCACAGGAAGGGATTATGGACATGGAGTTTGAAACTGTTAAGAGGATTTAAGGTTAACTTAGTATAAGTTCGAGTAACTACGTTTTTTTGGAAAGTGGATGGATTCCATCCTCAGTTGCCCATGCTAGAGATAAAAATTCCATTAAATATATGGCCCTCGAGAATTAAACACTAAATTTAATTGAAGGTAATTTATGCAGATGTTAGCATGCGCATATATATATATATATATATATATATATATATATATAGGGAGAGAGAGAGAGAGAGAGAGAGAGAGAGACAGAGAGAGAGTGCCAGATCTTAATAGAAACGTTAAAACAAACAAGTTACATATACAAAGTAAGGTGACAGAAAAAGAAAGACAAAATAACAAAAAGCGGACATTCAAAAAAGTAATTAGAGTTTCCAACATTCAATGAAACTGGCGGACTTTTTCTTTGGTTAGATCAATGAACAAATGTTTAGGAAGGATTTCATGCTTCGCTTTAATAAACGTTCATCTGGGCACTGAAATATATGGACAAAAAAGAAAGAGAAAATATCTGCTAATTTTGTGTTGTTTCTTTTTCATGTGTTTAGCAGACTTCAGGTGCATTTGTCTTGTCAAGCAGTGTTCGTGTGTAAGATTTATTAGTATAAGTGAATCGCGATTCTATACGGTATTCCCATGTTAATGTATATTCGTTTTTTTGTTTGTTTGTTTGTTTGTGTGTGTGTGTGTGTGTGTGTGTGTGTGTGTGTGTGTGTGTGCATCAGTCTGTCTAGCATGCATTTTCATTTGTTTTATATATGTCCTCACGTTGATTTCCGGAAGTTTTTATGTAATACCAGTTGCAGTAGTATATCTTAGATATTTTTTGTCCACATTTTATAAAAGTCTGAGATATATTATAGTTTATTTAATATGTGTTTATAGATGGTAAATATATATATATATATATATATATATATATATATATGAGATTCTAAAGCATACTAGCATTTCCATGAGCACCAAGGCAAATCTCATCAACGCCATTTTCCTACCAACACTGACATACCAATGCCAGACATGGCCCCTAAAAAAACCCTTGAGAGGGAACTGATCACTTGTGAGATGAAATGCCTGAAGAAGGCAGTGAACAAGACCAGGCGCGACAAGATCAGACATGAGGAAATAGGTGATATGGTAGAAGCAATACCAATCATACAACACATCGAACCACAGAGGATTAAGTGGTTCGGATAATTCACTCGTATACCTATCAACGAAACAGTCCTCCGAGAATACACCCTCAGGTACTCTGGCTGGAGAGCGAGAGGCAAATCAAGAAGCTGGAGCGACTCAGAGCTTTCCTCCAGGCCAGGCACCTTGCCTCTGACAGACGACTATGCTTCCCCGCCACGCCTAATAGCACAAACGGAAGGAAAAACTAAACTAAACATACATTTATGAACATATGCATCCAGCGAGAAAAAACGTATGGACATAAGGTTTAGCACAGCAAGGTGACTGCCGATTTCCGATATATATATATATATATATATATATATATATATATATATATACCCGGTTTTCTTCAGGATCTGTCTACATCCCTGAGATTGAGATGAGATATTATGATTATTTACATTATTTAGACCATTCGGACTGTCGTCCTCAACTTTTGGCCGTTGTACGCTCCGGCCATCTTCAGGTGATTGGAATTTCAAAACCTTTAATTCGTCCAAAGAGATAGATTGCCCTAGTTCCATGTGCCATGCCTCTTGCGAATGTCTCAGCTATTTCACTTTAACTCAACTCTCCAAGTTTTTTTTTTGGGGGGGGGGTCAGCACTGCTGTAGCCTGGTATTGAACTCACAAATCTTTGAATCTAGCCACTGGATCTAACTAACGTCTTTATCCACTGGGCTATGTGTCCTTGAGGATGTGTTTTATGGTCTTAATTTTACGCTGAAAGGACGCTGGTGTAATGGGTAAATAAAAGAACAAATTAGGCCCTAATGCCATGAATGTAAATCAGTCTAGGAGAAGGAAAACTATGAATTCAGACTAGCCTGGAGATATTAGTGATTCATCAGGCTGACTTGCCCATGAAAATTGCAATGGCAGCCGTATACAAAATTTTTCATTAATTTTTTTCTAAGTAGTTTTATTGCCTTACTTGGTGTGAAGTATTAAAAATTATTAATTTCATTGTTAGTGGAATTTTTTGCAATGTTTTTGAACATTGCTAAATATGTTATTACTATACGATTATTTCACGTGTCTTATGCGACTTCCACGTGTCATTCTTTTTGAGGAACACGCCATCGCCAATAGGCCATGCGGTAGACAAAAACAACACTTCAGGAGGCAGAGTTGAAGACATCAGGCCAACATCCAATCCTGACACTTGGGAAAATGTTGCGGCAAGTCGGCCTTCCTGGTGTATGACCCTCAGAGAGGGGACCGAAACTTTCGAGTCCAACTGTGAACATAAAGGGGGTCAGCGAGGTGCTGTCAGGAAGAACCAAAACGCCCAGCTGCGCCCACCAACCACATTCTTGTTGTGACACCTGCTCACGAATCTGTAGGCTGGGTCTTGACAGCCACCTACGCCCGAGTGGAGAAAAGGAATAAAGACAGGGGATAATGATACCGATCCATTGATATGAGCGGGTGCCGATGATTATACCATCTTATATACTTATATGTATATATATTTATAATATGATAATCAGCCGCCCTGTTGTTTAATAGGATCTTATATTAGTAAATATATTATTGCATATATCTTTTGATACAGTCAATGCAAATAATATAACCCTAACGTCACATGGCTTATTTATCATAAAAATAAGGGTATCTTCAGTATCTTTCTATATTTCTGATATGATGTATTATGTACATTATTTACATTATTCGGACTATTCTCCTCATCTTTATCGCCATATTTATTACAACGTTTCGGCCTTTCAGTATCTGTCTATATTTCAGAGATGAGGTATTATGGACACTATTTACATTATTCAGACTATCCTTTGGACAACGTTTCGGCCTTTTCAGTATCTGTCTATATTTCTTTGTCGCCATTTTTATCCGGACTATTGTCCGAACAACGAAAATCCGAATAATGTAAATAATGCAGCGATATCTTGTTTTTCAATACTAATTTTATTGTGAAAGAAAGATTTGCCTATTACAATCTGACTTGAAATAAATGGTCAGATCAAACGAAATGACGTGTATATCAGAAATGCGGAATATCTGTTAAATTAATTACAGCTGTTAGTGTAGCTACCAGGTGAATATAAAATCAATATCTTTCTCCGGGGCGCTCATTCCTATATGTATCGATTCATACCAACGTCACACTTTTAACAAGACACATCCTCTTAAATGGCATTCGATCGAAATTATGGAAATAAACATTTATCTGTATTTTGCCATGCATATTTCAATTGTCTTTGAATACAGAGTTGCTAAAAAAATGAACTGATTTCAATATTTTAATAAAGAAAAAGCAATATAAAACTGCAGCCAAGTCAAAAGTATTCTACTCAGAATCAAATTTTATTTCTTGTCTTACAATTTGTTCAATGTGGCCACCACCTGCAGCACGGGCAACATCAATCCGATAAGAGAACTCCTCCCAGACGCGTACGAGCATATTACGATACACTGAGTTGATCGCTGTTTTTATTCGATATTTATGGTTATTGAGGTTAGTGGATAGAGGTGCATCATATATACTTATACTTATTCCCACAAGAAAAAAAAATCACACACGGTGTGGTTTGGGGATCTCGCAGGCCAAACACAACGAGTCATGTCTTGGGCCCACTTCCGACTAATCCATTGCTGGTACACTTCTTAGCACACGCCAGATAGTGGATTGTGACATCACAAGGTTGACTTGTGGACTTCTGTGGACTCCGCTCAATTGCAATATGGATTCTCGCTACTTGTTCTCCCGAAACTCGTGGTCATTCTGGACTTTTTCCTTTACACAGGTACCCACTCTCTTGAAACTGTTTATACCATCGTCGAATCTTCTTAGGAGAGGACGGATTAATGTCGAATTGCATTCGAAAACCACGCTGTATTGTGACAAGAGTATTTGTTTTTGCGAACTCGAAAACGCAGAACGCCTTTTGCTGAGGACTCAACACTCCGGTGGGTAAACAAATAACTGAACATTGCTGGAAATACGACGCGACTACAGCGCCCTTGTGGCAACCATTTAAATTTTAGAAAACTCCTCTTTTAAATGGTTACTGACTCATTCCATAAGATTGCTTAAGAACTAAAGCTTTGCGCCATGAAATCGGTCCATCCTTTTTTAAAAAACCGTGTATTAAAATCTGAAGAATTATTCTTGAAGAAATATATAAAAGAAACTTTATCTCATGTAATGCTATAGACATTTTATTTGTTTAATGTTATACATTGCTATATTTAGATCCGTGTCATCTCCGGTCTAGATAGAATCAAAGTTCTGAACGGAAGAGATGTTAGTATTATGCATAGATTCATTTAGTAAATATTTTCTGAAAAATGTCAGGCAATTTTCAATTTTAGCTGATTATTCAAAATTCAGAGAGTCGTGCCAAATATTTCGCTTATATATATATATATATATATATATATATATATATATGCTCCTGAAACATTATTTCGGTTGAGCGCTCTGGGGAGAAAGTAAACAGTGACTATTACGGCTATTAATGAAATACTCTTCAATAAAACGAATCGAATTATCTAAGTTACTGGCGTGTTTATCTAAAATAAATACGCTTAAATTCACCTTCATTCCTACCGTGCGCCAAATTCACCTTCATTCCTACTGACGCCTGTTCAGCACGGTTTAGAACCTAGCTAGAGGCAACCTGACGTCTAGTCACACTGATAAGCATTGATGCAGCGAAATAGTCTCTCTGTGGATGACTATCTGCTACCCCTCCCTATAGCTTTCATTTACTCTAACATTGCCCGACACTCTCATACATACACTCTCACTAAATTTTATTTTTTATTTCCGGAGTTGTTTTTTCTGTTTTCTTTTTGAATTTGTAGGTCTCATGAATAGGATCGTATTTACGATTACAATGGAATAAATTATGACCATGGAATATTAGTGTTTAAGTTTATATATATATATATATATATATATATATATATATATATATATATATATATATCAATGATAATTAATTCAGTAGGCTCTTCAAATAAATGGAAAAAGCATTGCACGGCCGTTTCGTGCTATTTTGGGACTCATCAGCAGTGCGCCCCTACCATCGAGAATAGAATCCGGACGGTCACAATATGACGCAAGCGTCATACCGACTGGAGAAACGAGTATCCGTGAGGGAGAAGTAACACATCAGATTCGAAAAAAGCCTAAGCTCTTCACAAATCC